TGGATCTGATTATGAATTCGTTGCAATTTTACATCTTAAATAGTACATTTATAAAATGGTACAGTATTTTAATCCTGAATATTACTTGATTAAGAGTATGCAGATAGTACTTCTTAGGGTGCACTGAGTGCACTTTACATCTTTATTTTAAATGGTTTTTTACACTTTATGTTTACAGGCTTCCTATTTCATGAAGGTAACATATGGAAAACTCAAAATGGTGGCAGTTCTTATCACCAGATGTTAATATTGCGTCCAAGAACTGCTTACCAAAACAACATTTATCAACGGTTAGAACATTTGCTTTCTGTTTGTACATATTTTCCACAAATATCATAATTTGTATAGCGAGATTGAACAGGATGCAATCTTTCGTTGTCTAAAAGGTGCTGCAGTTAAAAAAAAAATCTCTTCTTTCAACATGGCACTTAGTGGAGTTTTTTGGATTTTACTTTGAAAACATTAAAAAAAAAGTGTAAAATCATTGTGACAATATCCAGTAGCTTATAAAAGAGGAATTGTCAGCTTGCATTTTCCCCATGAATGATTCAGAACTGACATTTGATTTTCTTCCTGTTTGAGTGTCCTACTATACTGTACTTACTTCGGCATATTTCTTTTGCAGAATGTAAACAAAAGGTAATGATAATTAGTTTATATAAGTGTGCTGGCTGTAAATGATGCTAAATATAAATTTTATGCAATTAAGGGCTTATGGAACATATGAAAACTTTTTTACTTTTATGGTAATAAGGAATGTTTGTGCCTCGACTATTGTATTGCTTCTGGATGTGAAGCTATGTAATTATTTCTGCTGTTATATTAAGTGCCATACTTTTAATAAAGCAAATGTCCATATCAAATTATTGTAACTGGTATTTCCTGAAAAATCAAACTTAGTATCTTCCTATATAACGTTTTGATATATGCATATAGGTGTATTTATTGGCAATATTTAGGATAGAATTTTTTATTATATTTTATATTGGAATTTTAGCACATTCTTTTTTTATGATTGAGTATAAAGTATTTGATACATATTGGGTTTATTAGGTGCTGGTTTAGTTAAGAGTTTTATTTTCCTGATATATATGATATGGTATATACACACACACACATACATACATACATGTATTTGGATATAGATACATTAAATATTATGGTTCTTCATAGGTAGAGGCTGAATTGATATTTACCTTGCTTCAGGAGGGGGCTGCATGTCTGGGGCTAATTTACGCTTGAGCCCTAACAGAAAATGTTCATCTTTATACCTGAGGCACAGGTCTTCAAAACTAGGCAGACCAGGGCGAAGAGTTTTCTGGGGCTTACCAGATTCTGGGTCTTCAGCTTTCTGGATGTCTTAAAAAGTGCTTGCTACTTTGAAACTCAGATTCAGGACTTGGAATATATTTTATTGTTTTTTGATATTAAAATGTAAACAGAAAACCTTGTCTGGTGGCCATTGGGCTAGTTGATCTAGTTGGGAGTTCCCGTTTTCTTTTTTTTTCCCTATACTTAAAAAAAAAAAGGTTCACAATACCTTATATCCAACCCTTGGATCCAAATGTATTTCAGAATTTGGATTTTAGAAAGTTAATACAAACATTCCCATCCGGGTAGGTAGCACTCTTAACCACAATATTTCTGCCGTGAAACCTATGAATACTCACCCTAACTGAAATACATAGGCCTGATAAATAACCTCACCTAAATTCCCGTCAGATCTCGCCACCAATAGTTTGCAGCAGACATATTTGGAGGGTGTTCCTATTTTTGGAGCTTTTTAAAGATTTTGAAATTCAGGGTAAGGAATTTTTGATGTGAACTTTTTATTTTATTATTTTGTGCTTTCCCACTAGTTCCCTTTTCTTATTAAAAGGAAAGTGGAAACAGCCTGTGTGGGGAGTAGCTGTTCCTGAGTAGCACACGGTCTAGCAAGGATTTGGAAGAGGCCTTCCTGCATTCCGGAGCAGGTTGTGTGCTGCCAGATGAGCGAGGGAGAAAAGCAGCCCCCGTGGGCTGGCGGAACTGTTCATAGCATCCGCCAGGAAACTCCAGGAGAACCTGTGCAGCCCAGGTAGTTTAGAAAGCAGTGGGGAATGCAACTCTTGATTTCTGGGTTGTGAGTTTGAGCCCCACGCCAGGCATAAAGATTACTTAAAAGACATCGGGGAGGGTATGTGCTATGTTGAACGCTGTGAATTGTTTAAGACTGATGAATCACAGACCTGTGCCCCTGAAACAAATAATACATTATATATTAATAAAAAAATAAAAAACCAAAAAAATTTTAAAAGTAAATATAAATGAATGAATAAAAAAAATAAAAAGCAGTGGGCAGTTGGTCAGGGGTGGGGGTGGGAGTGCCGAGAGCCCAAGGATGACATTGGCAAAATGTTCAAGTCGTGTTTAATAAAATAAAGAGCAGTTGTTCACGGGTCTGATGGTCTGATGTGCGGGTGTGGAATTCTCTTCCTTGGCGCCAGTCGACGTCTTCCGTACTTCACCTGTTCTGTAGCTCTCAAGGATAAAATTTGTAGTGCTGGTAGAAAAGAGCAATTATAGAAGATTTGAATTAGTTCTGTATTCATCAGGGTTCTACCAGAGAAACAACCAGGAGGAGATGTCCAGAAACAGATAGATGGAGAGATCTGTTTCCGGGAAGTGACCGGTGACCGTGGGGGCGGCAAGCGTGTGATCCAGAGGGCCGGCGGCCGCCACAGGCTGCGCGCACTCCGCCGGGGCTGAAGCTGCAGACTGCCCATGGAATGTCCTCACGCTTTGGCTCCCAAAGGCTTTTTCCGTTCTCTTGTTTGAACAAATATGGCTTAAAGTAGTGCCATTCATTCATTCATTTGAAAACGGCCCCCGGGCACCGTGTGCAGCCATTCTGTCAGGTGTTGGGGACGTGAAGGTGCACACTCCATCCCGGAAGTGAAGCTGCGCTATCTCTTCAGTTAAGAATGGATTTTGACTTAGTGGTGCCCTTAGCTCCTCTTGTTCCGCCTGCATGCTTACACCCGACACAAAAGCTTATTTGGTTTTGAAACAACAGCAAATCTGAAATGGAATTTAAAATAGGGCAAAACGCTGAAGCTGCATAGGAATTGATGTTTTAAATCAGGGAAGAAAGGGACGAAAAACTAGATAGACACCACCTAACAGCCTTAGTGTGAGGGGCTCTGCCTTTCAGAAGTGCTTCTGCCCTCCTTCACTGATCCCCAAAGCAGTGGAGATTGACCTGGTGGCTGGACTTGCGGGGGAGGACCCGAACACGTGTAGCTCAACCCTTCCTTTTACTTTGAATTTGGCTGCCTTTAGAACAGGAGCATCTGTCCACCCTCTTCCACGTGGCGAGCTATTGGGAGTCAGAGGCCCACAGTTCTCCCTGGGACGGGAGAGGTTCCTGTGATATTCGGGTCTTAGGGGAGTCCATTTTGCTGCAGATCAAACTTTTTTACTATTAAAGCTGACATTTTGATCATCTTTCTGACTTGTGCCTACTCAGCTGGTTTGGAAGTTGAAAAAGAAATAAGGGCTATTTTTTGAGGTCGCTCAAATATCAAACACTCAATGGTGTACAATCACTTAGTATATAGGAGTATTAGTGTACATAGCTCATTAGGTATGTTCATTAGGTATGTTCATAATCATGACCTTGGACTTTTAATGAAAATTTAAATTACATTGCATAACGTGTTTAAAAAGAAAGGTTTATGTAATATATTTTATAATATAGCCTATCTAAAAGTTTTGATTCAAACCAGAGATAAATTCCTTATCATTCTGGAGAATGCAGCTATCCACAACAACTTCTTTCATGATGATTCCAAATAACAAAGGAGAAAAAAAAATCTAATTTACATCTTTGATTTAAAGGGTTTTATCCTCCATAATTTCTCCTTGATTCTTTTTCTTGACCTTGTGTCAACCAAGCTTGAAGACATTTGTTTTGCACAAATATGGAGCAAGAAAGTGAATATGACAAAAAAAAAGCAGTGTTACTAGGACAGTAGGAATGCTGTAGCAAGAAAGCAAACATTTATTTAAGAAATCAGAACTAAATGGAAAAGTGAATACCAATTTATAACCTAAAAACACCCACCCCCTGTGAAATTTTAGGTGCATTATATTTAGAGTCGAGTTTGTTCTTAACTGCTCAGGACACACCTAATTTTTATTTTGTAATTTCAAGTGTTTATGCACATAACAGTTCAAAAATCCAGAATTTGTTATAAGTGGGCTATGCTGTCAAATGACCTTGTTAAAACAACATGAGAAATCGAGTTCACTCTCCCACTTTCTCTCAGTTCTGAGACCGCAGAAAATGAATCTGAACTCGTGTTTACAGTTATAAATCCTATAAATAGAAAGTTGCAATGCTCTTGGTCCTAGCACATCTTGTGCTACTTGGAGATCCTAATTATAACAACTGGTAAAACACCAAACCAAACCAAACCAAACTCACCAGTCTTTGTGATGACTGGCACTTTACAAAGTGAGTGAGTGGCTTACACAAGGCTAGCCTGTTTTCATAGGTTCAGTGTGTCCTATTTGACTTATATAGTGACACATACTACCAGTTGGTATTAAACCTACTTTCAAAAATGAAGAGAGTGATTCTATGAAGTAACATCAAGTCTGTTACTTTGTGTAAGAGGTAAATGCACAGGCTGGGCCATTATGAGTCCCACCACCTACTAGCTGTTTGATCTTGGTGGACTTTGGTTTCTTCACTTGTCAAAGAATATCATCCCATCTACACAATTCCCACATAGGCTGGTGTTTGGATGGAATGAGACAACATACCAGAGATTTTCGAAATGAAAACAGCTGTTCACATGTAGGGTCACATTTCAGTTTAATTTCACTAGCTACTGCCTGATCTCCTGACTTGTCCTAGCTGAACCTTTTTTTAATTACCAGTAATTTGGGGGAAAATATTAACCTCAAAGTGCTGTCGTGGGGATTAAAGAAAGGAAGACAAACTGAAGTTTGGGAAAAATGTAGGTTGATTTTTATTGCTTATAACTGTATATAAAGGAAACATGATTAATTTTGTATAATTTATTCCTTTGACAACATACTGAAAATCAGATCAACCCAAGTCCCCTCAAAACCTGAAGATTTCTTGTGAAATCTGATACACTTTGCATTAAAATGAGAGAACTTGTGGGTTAGAGTGATATAGTGGGAACACCACATAGAACTTTGGGGGCATTTTAGTATTGACCAATGCTACTTTTATGGGGAGTTAGATAGTCACAGTTGAATAGCATAAATTAATTCCACACAGCAATTCAATATTCCATTGTAGATTGATTATCCACAAGAAAGAAAAAGAAAAGTCACAATGGCTTTGATGAAAATAAACCTTGGAATAAAGACTTTTTTTTGTTGCTGTTGCTATCGCTAGACTTTTTTGTCTAATACGTGCACACCATTCTGAGATCATGGATTTTCATCAGAACACCTTCACTGGTACATTTTTCTGAGTTCCTTTTGAAAGTGTGCCCTCCTACTTCCCATCCACCGTCCACCAGGATGTCAAGTTGCTTGGTGTGAAGGCTTGAGGTCGGTAAACCTCAATGAAATGAGGCAGGTGCTCTGTGGAAGATGCAGGTGGTTTAGAGACAGATGTGACTGTTTTCGTGGCACGTGGTACCCACACCAGCCACGGACAGATAAAGCTTCCCATCTGGACACACACAGATTTCATAGAGTCTTTGTGAGCTGCCGGCGGCACCCCGAGTCCCCTGAACCAACTTGGGTAAACACACAGTTTCAGCATCAAGCACAAGCTGTTTGGGAGAAAACGAGAGATGAAGTGATAAAAGAGAATGGACATGATAGTGTAAAACTCATATCTCAGGATGCTCCAGACAGATTAGTTTCTTCTCTGCATAGAAAATGAAATAGGCACCTGACTTCACTTAAGACATTATCAGAGTCTTTTAAAACCTATTTCTATTTTCCATTCAAGCAGGGGCTTAATAATTCCTTCTCCAAATTGAAGTCTTTTTTTTTTAACCCATTGTGCTAGTTGAGCTAGGAAGATTTATGTGCTATACTAAAAATACCTTTCAGAATTATCTGAAAAAGAGTTTTAATTCACATTTATCTTGTGACCTATTTTGACTTTATGCTAAATCACCTTCTCTACCCCATTAGGATAAAGTACAAGCCGCAGAAATAAATTCATCTTAATAATTTTTACCTGTGAATGTTGGAATTTCTGCTGATTTTGTTTTCCAATGAGAGGCAATTAACTTCATCCTATTAGGTGCCAACCATTTCCCTAACTTCTCTTAGATGTCGAAAAGCAGTAGACAGACTAAAGCCAACTAAAATTAAATGAAAGCTATTGGGGTTTTTGTTCCCATGACAGTTTAGTTACACCGAAATGTAAACAGATGGCCATTAATTGAGGTTTGGAAATCTTTTTGGGAACAAAGAACTGTCCCACCGAGTAGCCGAATTTTACCCATGCCGGGGCACTCACTTATTAGAAGGAATTAAAGCATGTCATGGACGGGCATAATGTTGTGCCTTGCAAACAAGTTTGGAATCTTCCTTTATTTTCCATACTCTCATCCATGAACTCTACTCTTTTCATAAACCTATGCTTGCAGTCTGTACACCCTCCTGGGAAGCTGACCGCTGCCATGGGAAGCAGTGGGTGGAAAAATATTAGAAGCAAAGCTTTACCTTGTGGTCTGGGACACTGTCATAGTAAAAGAAATGAAATATGTATTGTATTTTTTTTTAAACTCAGAACCTACTTATGCTATTGTCCAGTGCTTTGGGTTCTGTGGCTAGTTGGTTTTTGCTAATGTGCTTTACCTTTTCCTTGTTGGCTTCTTTGCTTTCCTTTCTTATGGTTAATCAGTGACTTTGTTTTCTAGTTGTTATTTTTTTCTTGCTCTTCCAGCAAACTCTAGTCACTGGCAATCCACATACCCCTTCCTTGCTCACCTTCGTTTATCTTTATAGAAATATATCTTGTCTTGCCAGACATCCCCGCACTTTGAACTAGCTTCCAGTAATAAGGAACATCAGCTTACGAGTCAGGCTATGTGCTACTATAAAAATGGCACCTTATTCGTGGAAATAAGTGAGACTATTTCAAATTAAAATTAGCATATTTTTTCCAAGGTCATATATTTTAAGTATGCAGTGACATTATCATTTAGTAATGAGATTCCAAAATGCTTGACTTCCATTTTTGCATTTATCTGCTCTTGGCATCATAACTTCTTCAGTTACAACTTGAAGGGGCTTCAGCGGATGTCTTTTATATTCCACTAGCAGCCTGCCATTGGATGGGCCCTGTCCACACTCATGAGCTGCCTCTCATGGCCTCCATTTGCTGCCTCAACCACACCTTCCTCTTAATATCAGATTAATATAATAATTTCAAAATGTTGCCACCCATATTACCACATTGCTTTCTCACAGCACTGTGACATAGTTAAGCAAATATTGTTTTCCTTATTTGACAAATGAGAAGATAGGTCCAGGTCTGGAGAGGCCTGTTAGTTTTCCTGAACTCAGACAGGTAATTCATGAATTTATCTAGTACTAGAACAATCGGTATTGAGTAGTGGGTGCTCTACTGCCTCATTACGACTTTGGCTTTTATCAGTGATGTTTTATTTCTGGACTTGAAGTTCCAGATTTTATCCTTATTGTGGTTGACTTTTAAAGCTCTTATTTTTCATGTTTAATTTTTGTTTAAACATAATTTGATGTGAGCAAGTATAGGGCTCAAGGCAACAACCAATAATGGTTGTCATTTACAGGTAACTCCCAGTGACTGCCATATTGAGAGAAGTTGGATCAGTAGGTAATTGAAGAACTGATAGTCTCTGTCTGCTCTGAAAGTCATCAGGACATACAACAGGAGCTTCATATACCAAACTCACCATTCCATCACTACTTTGAAAAATGATATCCATTTGAGAAAGAGCCTCAATTTTCCCAGCATGAGCTTTAATATGAACACCCTTTGGGGCATCCATGCTTAGACTCCGTGTGGGGGATTCTAACCTGAAATGAGGGAAAGAAGCAACAAAAAATAGTATTAAAAAAAAGCTACCCCAGGAATCCCTCATTGAATGGCTTTGTGTAGAAAATACAATTAACAAAGCATATAGTATCATGATGTCATTCTTGAATGCTAATATAGTGTACATTCTTTATCGATAAATCCAGAAATAATGTGCAGTAAAGAAATTAATTTCCCATCAATAAGAATCTACAAAATTAGTGTCCTTTAAAAACAGATAAAAACATTACACAGCTCTACCCCAACATAGTAGTCTCAGATGGCAGGGTTAAGCACTCTGCATATCACACCAGAAGAAAATGCAATTTGTGAATAATTTTGTAAAACTCTGTAGTGAAAACAGAAACCTGTCCAGGAAGAAGACAAACTTAAGGATAAGACATTCATTTGCTCCCTCTTCATAAAGTGGAATGTAAGCTTAGCCTTTAGGTTTTGTTTGCATTTATTTATTTATTTTTTAATTTAGGAGGATTACAGGGCACATGTGAAGATTTCTTTTGGGAAAATACTAAAGTGGTAGGGTTGGGAAACAATGGAGACTGCCCCAGCTGGCTTTGTTTTTGTATAATTTATCAGAATCTCCTTGTGACTAAGTCAAACATAGAGAACCAGGAGTATATGGACCAGAGAAATTCTGTTTGCTTCTGCCTGAAAAATACTAAACTTCCACCAGGTGGCATAACATGATCACTTGAAAGATTTTTCAGCTACTCTAACCCAACTCAACCTGACCCAACCCAACCCAACCCAACTCAACCCAACCCAACCCAACCCAACCCAACGCAACCCAACCCAAGCCAACCCAACCCAAATCAACCCAACCCAATCCAACTCAACTCAACTCAACCAACCCAACCCAACTCAACCCAACCCAACCCAACCCAACCCAACAATCTGAAAGGCTGATTTGACTGAAATGTTTAAGATCAATGAAGTGGAACAGGATACCAAACAGTGGGTAATTCTCTCACAGCAGGTAAGATTAAGAGTAGGCATGGGTAGGAGAGAGAAAGGGGAGTGGCTCCAGAGGGAAAAGTACCTTGGTCATTGATTTGCATTTGAACTGACTGAATATTTATTTAGTAGATGTTTAGCTCAGATGAATTGCTGCCTTTAATTGGCAAGTTTTTGTCTACCACTATTTGTTACAGAAAACAAAGTTTCATTTTCTTACGTACATCTTAATATGTAAAATTTGATCTGTTATACATTTAGAAATTTATATTTACTTTGAGTACAAGGAAACACTTAGAGACATTTATAGAATTTATTGGTCAAATTATGTTAAGCTTAGGTTATGGGGAAATGCTTAGATACATCTAGATGATTTGGTCTGCTGATTGCCTGCCCATTTTGCTAGTTGTCTACATTTTTCCTGCCTGGATTGATAGGAAAAAAGGGGAAGGGGATGGGGAAGGAAAGGAAGGGAGGAAGACACGTAAGCAACTTGTAGAGGTCTGGTCCATTTCAGGCAATCCATTTGTAAATTTGAAGATCCTGGGGAAGGTGAGTTTGTTTCAAAGATCAGTCATCAAACAACAAAATAACCTCAATAGGACCAACTACTAGTTTTTAACCATATTATAATATGGTGCTTCTGGAATAGCAAATTTCTTCCCCTTCGTATCATTTCTAGCCTTGAAGATGAAATATGTCAGTTCAGCACAAGTTGGGACACATTTTACCAAAAAAGGTTGTGATTAGAATGCTCTGAAGTATACATTTTCATGAACACACTGAACAGCAGTCAGATATAAAGCAACTCAACTTTTTTCTCTTTTGTTATATTTTAGTTTGCTAGTTAGATATCCAACCCTTTCTTTGAATATGTGAATATATATTTACTCATGACTTATATGAGGAACAAAAAAATTTGAACAGTGACCCAGAAATATACCAAATAAATAAGCTGTGTGTTTATACACACACACACGCGCGCGCGTGCATGCACGCACACACACACATATGGTATATTTGCCACACACACACACACACACACACACACACACACACACATATATGGTATATTTGCCCTTTGCCCATATTCACTTTTGCATTTAGAGAATATAAGTAGTCAAGCATATATGATTGTAATATTTATTGCTCATGATTTTAAGCTCTTTTAGGCTTACAGTAAGTCTAAATTTTGTAAATAGGATGAGAGACTGGGAAGCATAAATACAAATTGACAAGAAAAGCTGGCCTAGAGACAGCACTGGCCAAATCATGCAAGGACTAGATTATGTCCACTGTTAGGCCATGCTGACCACTAGACTATGTTAACTGTGTTGGTCTTTAATCTAAAAGTGTGGGGAATAATGTATTTAGTCATTTAACCCTTATTTATTAAGTCCCTATTATGTGCTTTTCTAGATTTGTAGAAAAACAGTAGCAAAAAAGGCAGACAGGCTTCCTGCCCTTAGGAATCTAACATTCAAGAAGCTTAAAGGATGTAAGCAGAGGAATAACAAGATTCTATTTTTGCTTTAAAAATATCACTCTATAAAGACCTGTCAAGACAGATGAACAGATGCAGAGCTCTGCCCTCAGCCCCCAATTACATATAAATGCTGGATAAAATACAATAAAAAACAAATACATGCTAGGCATAAATAACAACAACAAAAACAAACCCAGAAAAACAAAGGGCATTTTCATAGTGTCAGAACAGAAGAAACTCATAACCAGAGTGATGAGTGGGAGTTGAAATGCTGGAGCCCTTGGAGGTAATGGGCAGATAAATGCCTTGTGGGCTGGTATTTTAAATCTCTACAGGGAAGGAGTTGTGGCCAACTGGGGGGGGGGCATGGGAGGAGTGTTTGGAAATGGGCTCTGGGCATACAGATGGGAGTTGAAACACAGTATGATAAGAACCCTAAAGCAGGCTGCTCTTTCTGGAATGTGAGCAGAAAGTCTTAAATCATGCACTATTGTAGAAGCCAAATCCACACACTATTCCGGCCTTGTATCAGCCCAATCTGAGAAACACCTGTGAACGCTGGCTTGAGAACAGTGCCCCCTGCAGGACCCTGGCAGAAGTGAATGGGAAACTGACATTAAAGGCAAATAGCCAAACTGTGGAAAGAGCCAAGATGTCCATCAACAGATGAATGGATAAAGAAGATGTGGTATATATATACAATGGAATATTATGCAGCCATCAAAAGGAATGAGATCTTGCCATTTGCAACGACGTGGATGGAACTGGAGGGTGTTATGCTGAGTGAAATAAGTCAATCAGAGAAAGACATGTATCATATGACCTCACTGATATGAGGAATTCTTAATCTCAGGAAACAAACTGAGGGTTGCAGGCTTGGGGGTGGGGTGGGAGGGATGCGGTGGCTGGGTGATAGACACTGGGGAGGGTATGTGCTATGGTGAGTACTGTGAATTGTGCAAGACGGTTGAATCACAGATCTGTACCTCTGAAACAAATAATGCAATATATGTTAAGAAAAAAAAGAAGATAGCAGGAGGGGAAGAATGAAGGGGGGGAAATCGGAGGGGGAGACAAACCATGAGAGATGATAGACTCTGAAAAGCAAACTGAGGGTTCTAGAGGGGAGGGGGGTGGGAGGATGGGTTAGCCTGGTGATGGGTATTAAAGAGGGCACGTACTGAATGGAGCACTGGGTGTTATACACAAACAATGAATCATGGAACACTACATTAAAAACTAATGATGTAAGGTATGGTGATTAACATAACAATAAAAAAATTTAAAGAAAAAAAAAAAGAGTCTCCATGAGAACTGCACCTAGATGAAGGGCCAAAGAGGATGAGCTCTCAGACAGAATTTTCAAACCACATGGGAGAATCTGTCAACATGAGGAACTAGAGGTAATAGAACAGTCAGAAAGGGACTAACACTAAGCTTAGAGCATCCAAAGAGATAAATTAACAGAACAAGACCAAAATAGAAAAAGAAAGATTTAAAAACCAGGTAAGTAGAAATTAATTAAATAAAATTAAAGTCTTCTGGTAGACTGAATAGTAGACATGTCATATATCAAAAGAGAATAGGACACTGTAATGTAAATTTGGTATTTTGGTGGGAAAACAAGAAATGTAAAATTTGAAATGCACAATTAATGTTTTTAAATGCATAAAAAGCACAGAATTTCAAAGGAAACTCATTAATGACTTTTAATTTTTTATTTTTTAAAGATTTTATTTATTTATTCATGAGAGACAGAGAGAGAGAGAGAGAGAGAGAGGCAGAGGGAAAAGCAGGCTCCCAAGGAGCAGGGAGCCTGATGCAGGACGCGATCCCAGGACCCTGAGACCATGACCCGAGCCGAAGGCAGACGCTTCACCATGTGAGCCATCCAGGCACCCATGACTTTTAAATACAAATGTAAACATTACTTAAATGGGTGATATAGCAATTTATGAGCTTACTTGTTAATTAAGTAAGATCTGGCCAACGGGCTTACAACTACTATAATTTCAAAGCAGCAAAGAGTATGTAATGTATTTTGAGATACTTCTATAACCTTCATGTGATATTAAAGTATCTCTGGCTTCTACAGATTAAAAAGTCAAAGAAACTGCTAATCCTACCGTGGTTTGTTACCTCTCATTTATATTTGAAGGGATGCTAAATTTCAATTAGAAGTCAGTGAAAATGAAGGACTTTTTTTTCACATTCAAAATCATTAACCCACTAAATTCTGTTCTTGGACACGCAGGGGATCCACAGACCACAAGTTAAGAACACCTATTCTCTAGAGAATGAGAAGACACAGATATGAAGAGGTAATGTTTAATCATTTTCCAGAACTGAAAAATAACATGAGTTCCTAAAACTGAAGAGGTGTATCGATACCCAAGTACGAATTAAGACATAGCCAGCACCCAAACACTTTCTGGTAAAACTGCAAACATTAAGATTATGAGAAGGTCTTAAAAGTATTCAGAATGAAAATCAAATTGCTTACTTACCAAAGACCCAAAAGTAATGAATAATATCTTAAAA